CATAATATCATGACTTTTTTCTTATGTCTTTAATCTCGTAGTATGACTTTAATCTCATAATATTACATCTTTATTCTTGTAATATTATGACTTTTAATCACATAATATTACGACTTTATTCTCATATTATTATGACTTTATTTTTATACGACTTTAATCTTGTGATATTATGACTTTATTCTTGTAATATTATGACTTTTAATCACATAATATTACGACTTTATTCTCATATTATTATGACTTTATTTTTATACGACTTTAATCTTGTGATATTATGACTTTATTCTCGTAATTTAAACAAATTTTAAAAATCTTGTTGTGTGGCCGTAATACTCTGCTGTAAAGATATGAGTCTTTCATACAWTGTAAAGTAATGAGTGTACAGCTTGTGTAACAGTGTAAATTTGCTGTTACCTCAAAAGAACTCCACACAGCCTTTAATGTGTAAACTTCTGACAACAAAACTGAGGGGTCTACTCACGTTTGTGAGCTACTGTACCTTTTTAATGAAACAAAGCAATTATTGTAAAAGAATTGACTGATTTAATAACATTTAACAGGTATGTCAAGAGTTTTTCCCCATTCTGCAGTAAGTCACAGTTACAGAGCTCTCTCTGGATCAAGTGTAGTTTTGTTATTTTGACCTTCTTTAGATACGTTTTTCTGAACGGTTCTGTGTCTGCAGGATTTATTTTACAGTAATGTTTTGATATAATATTTGATACAATATTTCTGATGAGAATAAATAGTGATTTCTATGTTTAGTTGTAAATGTTTTGCTAAGTTAAAGTTTGCTCCCCGCTGCACCTTTCAGAACATCGACATCACCAACTTCAGCAGCAGCTGGAACGACGGGCTGGCCTTCTGTGCCCTGCTGCACACCTACCTGCCTGCACACATCCCCTACCAGGAGCTCACCAGCCAGGACAAGGCAAGCAGAGATCAGAGCAGACCTGCAGACTTTACCTTCTATTTTAAATGTTTCATTTAAATCTCTTCTTTTATCCTCAGAGGAGAAACTTCACCTTAGCRTTCCAGGCTGCCGAGAGCGTCGGCATCAAATGTACATTGGTAAGCTCTTTAGAAATTATTATGTTGACTATTTTTTTTGAGGAAGAATGTTAATGTGCATGCCAAATACATATCTATAATACATGCCAAAGTTTCATCTCCTGTGTTCTTTCAGTGATCAGAATATGTTGGGGGTCAGTTTCATCTGGAACCAAACATTAGCTCTGTCTGTAAAACTGACTGAATCCTGATGATTTCTGTGTTTGATAAAACTGATTAGCTGACAAAGAAGCAGACAAACTCACACACATACTTACGTATGTATGTGTTTTACATGACTGCCTGCCCTTCATAGCAGCAACACAATCAAAGATTATTATTTTTTATGCTGATTTAACACTAAAATTTAAAATGCAAGTAAATTTTAACTTCTTACGTCCCTTATTGTAAACATTGCTTATAAGTTAAACTTTATTTTGTTTCTATGCCATGTTTCATCTCTGCTTTTACAACTTATAAAACCAAATACGGATAAAATGAGTATAATTTATCCTAACTGCTGATTATAGTAGCACATTCATTAAATAACAGCTGCTGAAAGTTTCATGATATCAAAGAACAATAAAAAAAGTTAAATTTTTACATTGTTCAGTATAAAGTCAGGGGCATTAATGAACCAAAAATGTTTGATTTTAAAATGTTTGAATTTGGTTAAATCCACTCAAACATATATTCAAGCTCTTTTGAGTTGAACTGTWCTGAAATATAATTTTATAAATCACATTTCTGCCTCTGATCTGTGGGTCAGAAGCTGGATTGTTTGTTGTAGACAACAGGRTAATTATTATTGCAGTTTCTATTTATTTTTGTTATTCTTTGTTAAATTAGGTGGCCCACCCACTTTCAGCCAGGCCCACCTAGAAACTCATTTCTGTCGACGCTACTGTTTGTTCCTTTTATTTTGAAGGCTCAGCTGACAGAGCGTTCAGGCCGTCAGACCTAAAGTGTGTCCCTCCTGCTCTGTGCGCTCTGCTTTCAGGACATTAATGAGATGGTGCACACCGAGAGGCCGGACTGGCAGAGCGTCATGACRTACGTCACCGCCATCTACAAATACTTCGAGACTTGACTTCTGACTTCAACCCTTTTCCACCCCACAATGCACCTGCAGCTCAGTCGGAGCCACATCGACCCGTCTGTTATACCTCACTGACCCCCCTTTCACAGCAGCACCCGGTCACTCTGCACGTCTCAGTCAACAGATCCGAGGCTCGCCTGCTTCCTGTTAGACCAGTAAGCCATGAGAAGTGACTCCAGTCCACTAATGTTCAGGAAAATGCCACGGCTCGTGTTTGCGCTCAAGAAGCCGCTGCATAAGGAAGAAACCAAGTCTGAGTGCCTTTTTCTGGCTGCTGGCCAATATTTCTCCACAGTTCATGTTGTTTCCAGGATGTTTCTGAACGTCCAGTCCAACTTGAATCATGTTTTGGAGGAGAAAGATTCAAAAACTGACTTTTTTTTTTATAAATATAGTGAAAAAGCAAACAGTAGTAGTGTTGGAAGTGCCCCATCACTCTAAAAGCTTTCCTTTCAGAAAGTTACGTCCTTTTTGCACCAAGTCTTCCCGATGTTACAGGATGACCCAGATGCCAGTCTTTAAAGGATAAAGTGCCTGTGTGAGCTCCATGACTGCAGTCTGTGAACCTGACAGACCATACAAGTTGCCAAATAAGCTTCAAAGACTTCTGGTTTTATTATAACCAGAAAAAAAATAATAATAATCCTGATGCTTTACAAGCACAAAGCATGCTAAGTTCAACATGTCTGTTTCACACAGCTGGTTAACCACTAACACTTTTTGTAATTAATTATTTAGTTTTAGTACTCAGTATTTATGCTCTGAATTAATTAATGCTGTTTGCGTTCACCACCTGTCATTCTGCACACAGAGCTGGCAGCATCACTTCACCATTACTCAGACATGAAGAAACAAAAAGCAGGTTTCAGTTCGTCATTGCAGATCTCAGGTGTCAGATATGTCTCGCCCACAGATCTCAAACAGGAAATCCTGCACCAGCTTCAAGAAGGCAACAGACAAATCAAAGGCTCCCACACATCCCTTCCAGGTCATTGATGTTTGAAGTGCAGTTATTGTTTGACGTTCTGGATGACGCCTTTTTATTTAAATCTGTTTTTCTTGCCTCGACTTGGCCCTCCTGCTCCATGTGTGTGTTTCAAGCTGCAACGTGGTGCAGATGAATTTTAACGTAAATGCTGAAAGACTCGATCCAAAAGATGTAAAAACACACTGTTGTTTTGTTTTAAAGACTTTAGTTAAAGGGATCCATGATTAGTTGTAACATTAGACTTTATTTGATAAACATATACTTTAACTGTAAAAT